AGTTTCTCAAACATCAGCCTGTTTTTGTAGATTGTTGTTTTACTGCAAACACAATCTTGATTACTTGGTAGTTTTTTCTCATACTAAAAAACAGTATGTCTTTACCTCATCAATCTGGAAAAGTGCAGGCCACTTGAATTTCAACTTTCCAGCACCTGGACTCCCTTGCACCACCTCTTTTCTTTAGTAGAAGACTCTTCTAGACGTCTTCTCTCTTACATTAGATCCTTTGTTTCTTTGTCTGACATCATTCAGAAGTTCAACTCGCACAGTTTCCAGACTTTCATTCATTTCGCCAGCGGGGTGTGAAGGGCAATAGTTAACCTCGGCCTTTTTCGCCTTCTTAACATTTTTGCTTGGGAGGAATCCATCACTGCGTTTTTTAACGCATTTACAGTCACTTCAGGACAGCCAATATTTCACATCTTTGTCCTGTAATTTGCCATTTTATATTTCAGGCTAATCATCCAGCCATACAGTAACCAGTGGCAGATGTCTCTCGCAAACTGGAACATTTTTTGACAAGTGCCTCTGCTACGTCACCCATGTGGTGATTTTGTGGACCTGCTGTAAACTGGAAAATCTCTTCAGCAATTTCTCAGGGATGCATGTTCCACTCTTTTGTCTTCTCTGTTTGTTCCAACAGAAAAAGTCACCAGTTGCTGCTTTTTTCCTTGACTATATGTTGATAAATTTGTTTAAACATTTTAACAGGGTCACAAAACTGTTGCATGTTTGCATACAAACAGTTATCTGGAACATAAAATGATGCCAGCACCTGTCTGCACCAGTCTGACCTTATATTTGACACCTCACTTGACCCACATCATGTTGTTGTATGTTGATACTGCAGCATCAACATGCCAGTATCACTGTCTTTCTGCTAAAGGGGTGAATTTAGAAATTGTAATTGGCTTCTCAGTTCCAAAGTGATTCTATATTGATCACCACTCTACCAACGGCTNTTAAAGAATTTATGACTGAATTTGCGATATCTATTATACGGACTACTTCTCTGTTGTAAATCTCTCAGAGCTGTGATGACCCCTGAGGTCATCTTGTGTCTTGTGGGTGGTTCTAGTTCAGCTATTGGTTCTGTGAGTGGTTGTTTAAGGTAATCAGGAGCACCTGTGACACCCAGTGTGTTCCTGGGTTACTTACGGGCTGACTGCAGTCTAATCTCTCTCTACTATGCTTCCCTCCACAGGTATTGCATCGGTCTGGTTTTGGGTTAGTTTTCTTTGTTTAGCACATTTGCATTTACAACACTTGCACAGACATAATTCATGCATACATCATGCACACACACCACTGACTTTATGTATTCTCACAACCCCATATAGGTTTGGTTTTTAATTTGATATAATTTAAGGGAATAAAGATAAGCTTTAATTTTTGAAACTTGGTGTGTCTCTCCTTTTGTTGCGGCCGTCTTGAGCCAGGTCGTAACAGAGCTAACGTCGATAGTAAATTCTTCGAAACAATTGTGTGATTATCTGCACATAAATAATTTGTTTGAAGAGTTTCATTAAGGATTTAGAATGCATCCAAGTACAGAAACAGCACTTGTGAAGGTCACCAATGATCTCCTTATAGCCTCAGACAGTGGACTAGTTTTACACTTGTTCTGCTGGATCTCAGTGCTACCTTTGATACAGCTCATCACAGCATGTTAGTACAGAGACTGGAACGTCATTGAGATTAAAGGAATAGCACTAAACTGGTTAAAATCATATTTATTCGACAGATTCCAGTTTGACCGTGTTAGTATTGATTCTTTCACTCACACCAGAGTTGGTTATGGAGTTCCACAGGGTCCTGTGTTAGGACCAATGTTATTTACATTGTATATACTCCCCTTAGGAAATATTATTCGGAAACACTGCATATATTTCCACTGTTATGCAGACGACACCCAGTTATATTTATCTATAAAGCCAAATGAAACTAAACAGTTGGTCAAACTCTGGACATGTCTGAAGGACATAAAGGTCTGAATGACCTGTAACTAGCTTCATTTAAATTCAGACAAAACAGAGGTTATTGTATTTGGCCCTAAACATATCAGAAACACACTATGGAACCAGATAGTTACTCTAGATGGCATTGCCTTGGCCTCCAGTTTTACTGTAAAGAACCTTGGAGTTATTTTTTAACAGAATGTATCATTTGACTCACATATAAAGCACCTCTGTAGAACAGCCTTCTTTCACCAACATAATATTGTCAAAATCAGAGTATCAGAGTGACGCTGAGAAACTAATCCATGCATTTCTAACCTCTATGCTGGACTAT